ACAGGACATTGCAGGCCTAAAAACATTCATATTTCACAACTGCATATGTATATATGTAAGCATGTGCATGTTTCTACTTGTAAACACATGCATGGTTAAAGATAAAGCTCACCATATTACCTATTTTTTAATCTTTATTTTCTGCCTGATCTATATTCTGGGCGCTGCCCATACTAGATAGCAGTGTGAGATTCCCGCACATGCCCAGTTAAACACTTGGGCATGCGAATGGGAATTTAATCTATTCATTCATTCATCAGACAGACGAATAAATGAATAGAAATTTCAAACGAATAAACAAACACTGAATATCAGTGCTCGTTTGTTCGTTCAGTTTATTACAAAGAGGGAGATACCGGTGCACAGCTCCCTCCTTGTAAAATGTAAAGATAGAAGAGGCAGGGAGCAGTGCTCCCCACCACTTCCTAAGCCCCACATGTCCTCCCTCACTCTATGGGGGTCAATATGACCCCAATAATAGCAGCGAGTGCCCCTGCCCCTGCGCAGCGAGTGGTGGCCCTAAATAACAATAAGGGGGGGGACCTACTGTCTTCCCCCCTGGCCCCCACCCCTGAGCGGTGGGTGGGGGACATAAATAACAATAGGGGGGGACCTACTGTCCTCCCTCTGGCCCCCACCCCTGTGCGGCGGGTGGGGGTGCTAACAGGGCCGGACTGGGAATTAAAAGCAGCCCTGGAAAAAAAATATTTACCAGCCCCATAATGCATCGCGCCAGCATAGTGTGCAGATACAGAGTTAGAACAGATAACTTAAAATTAAAAAGTACTTCAACGTAAAAAGCGCACTCATAGGCTTCAAAATAAACAAAAGTGCAGATTTATTTTAAGCAGACGTGCCTTTGCATGTAATCAATGTTTCAGTCCAACTACCTTGACATATTAAGGAAAGCTTGTTAATGGGACTGAAATGGTGAATGTATGTAGGGCACAACTGTAAAAAATGTTTATTTTGAAGTCCTGTGGGTGTGCTCTTCACTTTAAATATGTTATTGTGCTGGAGTATGCACCTAGCAACAAGACTGGGCCAATATCTGCTCATTACATATGGTACATATTAATGAAATTTCTCTGTGTATTATGCATTTATAAATGTACATTAATATGTGTAAATATAATAGAGATATAAAACTAATACACACATTAATATACATGTCATATACTAATGGCGGATCCAGAGCCTGAGCCTGAGAGGGGCACTTGTAGATTATTTAAAGAAATATTCCATGCACAATAACCACTACTCCTCTGTGTAGTGGTTATGGTGCCAGGAGCGTCGGCACCCCCTCCCAGAGTAAGTCGTCAAACCGTTTAAGAACAGTTTGACAACTTACCTGGAGTCTGCTGGGATATGGGGCTGTAGTAGGGTATAGGAGCAGTGGTGCAATGTGTGTGAAAGGTTCAGTGTGTGGGTGGGCAGTGTGTAAATGTGTATGGTGTGTGTGTGTGGGGCAGTGTGTGAATGTGTCTGGTGTGTGTGTGGGGCAGTGTGTGTATGGGGCTAGAGTTCACTCCTACTACTGGGACCACCAGGAAGTGGTGAGAGTGAACTCTAGCCCATAGCTCCAGGGCTAGAGTTCACCCTCGTGAGAGCCGGAGCGTTGCCCCAGGTCCTCTCTTCCTCCCCTGCCGACTGGCTGCACGGTGCCTGTTGAACGGGGAGGGAGATCGGCCGGCAGGGGAAGGCCTTGGGGGCTTTGTGATATATACTGCCCCTATGTGTGTCTGTAGCGGAGATGCAATATTCCCCAGGTTGTCTCCGCTTATAATCCAAGTGAGGCTCAGGAACAAGTAAATAATAAATCCATAGGCAAA